TCAGGTGATAGGGGTAGGCAGACCAGTAAAATGGTATAAAAAGGCAAACCAACAAAATTGCTAGAGAAGATTGGAGTAAAGAATAATGAGAGAGAGGGAACATGTTTCAGAAAATTGTATACACCAACATAGATGGAGTGAAATCAAAGATACTGAAGTTAAGTGATGTAACACAGCTGCAGACGCTAGACGTTGTTGCACTCATGGAGACAAAACTTGAAGATGATATTTCTCAGTTTGGAGACGGGACAGAAAAATTAGGAAAGGTGGTAGCGTTGCTGTGCTGGTTAAAGAACACCTAAAGGTAAACTAAATAATGATTGCCAATCCACGAGAAGTTGACATAATAGCACTGGAGATCTACAAACTGGATGATAAACTAATAATCATAAATGCATATAGGCCCCTGCCATACAACACATGGACAGAGGAGGAGCTGGAAAATAAATGAGAGGTCTTATAACAATAATGAGAGAGATTATAGTAAGAAAGATAAAGATAGGTCATGACTGTTGGTAGTCGGCAACTTCAACTTGAAATCCATAGACTGGGAGGCATACGAAGCTGGAACAGAAGACTTTTGGATCTGTAGATTCGTAAACCTCATCCTGGAAACATTCATTTATCAACACGTTAAACAAGCTACGAGGATGAGGGAAGGGGATGTTCCCTCCATGCTGGATTTGATATACTGATATTAGTTCCACATAAGAGGAATTTTGGTATTGCTCGTTTGACAAGCAACACTAAAATAATTGATAGATACAATAACAATAGAAGATTAGACATCAGTGAGGTGCTGCATATCAAGAAATCTAGTCCAGCAAGCAATAACCAGCTAATACACAGTTACACTCTACCCATTTCAAGACCCCAGGCCAATGCAGAAGCTGGACCAAATGACCCTGCAACAGGAATGAAAGCAACTTGGAGAACATAAACTGCCGACATATCACCATCTTAATTTACTACTTCATTATTACCCTATTAATACCACATTCTTTTAATACCCCATATATATATATATATGTCATTCATCCATGTCACCTACCACCTCACCATTAGAGGATATAATCAGGTGCTACAGAGAAGAATTTTGTCATTGAAAATGTAAGGTGAGACCTTACGAAACGCATCACTAGGCGTCAGACCCAAATAATAAGTAAAAATAAACTTTGGAGAGTTAATTTTTAATCTTCCTGTTTCAATAAAGAAAAACGTAAGGAATATCGAGAAGATTCATGCCAGAATCATAAGTCTAAAACTTTCTATAGTTTTCGATTAAATATGTTTAAATGAAAGACTGCCAACAAAATATATATATATATATATATATATGTCGTACCTAGTAGCCAGAACTCACTTTTCAGCCTACTATTCAAGGCCAGATTTGCCTAATAAGCCAAGTTTTCCTGAATTAATATATTTACTATAATTTTTTTCTATGAAATGATAAAGCAACCCTTTTCTCTATGCATGAGGTCAATTTTTTTTATTGCAGTTAAAATTAACGTAGATATATGACCGAACCTAACCAACCCTACCTAACCTAACCTAACCTATATTTATAGGTAAGGTTAGGTTAGGTAGCCAAAAAAAGCTAGGTTAGGTTAGGTTAGGTAGGTTAGGTAGACGAAAAAACATTAATTCATGAAAACTTGGCTTATTAGGCAAATCGGGCCTTGAATAGTAGGCTGAGAAGTGCATTCTGGCTATTAGGTACGACATATATATATATATATATATATATATATATATATATATATGTCGTACCTAGTAGCCAGAACTCACTTCTCAGCCTACTATTCAAGGCCCGATTTGCCTAATAAGCCAAGTTTTCCTGAATTAATATATTTACTATAATTTTTTCTTATGAAATGATAAAGCAACCCTTTTCTCTATGTATGAGGTCAATTTTTTTTTATTGGAGTTAAAATTAACGAAGATATATGACCGAACCTAACCAACCCTACCTAACCTAACCTAACCTATATTTATAGGTAAGGTTAGGTTAGGTAGCCAAAAAAAGCTAGGTTAGGTTAGGTTAGGTAGGTTAGGTAGACGAAAAAACTTTAATTCATGAAAACTTGGCTTATTAGGCAAATCGGGCCTTGAATAGTAGGCTGAGAAGTGCGTTCTGGCTATTAGGTACGACATATATATATATATATATATATATATATATATGTCGTACCTAGTAGCCAGAACGCACTTCTCAGCCTACTATGCCAGGCCCGATTTGCCTAATAAGCCAAGTTTTCCTGAATTAATATATTTTCTCTAATTTTTTTCTTATGAAATGATAAAGCTTCCCATTTCATTATGTATGAGGACAATTCTTTTTTATTGGAGTTAAAAATAACGTAGATATATGACCGAACCTAACCAACCCTACCTAACCTAACCTAACCTAACCTAACCTATCTTTATAGGTTAGGTTAGGTTAGGTTAGGTACCCGAAAAAGTTAGGTTAGGTTAGGTTAGGTAGGTTAGGTAGTCGAAAAACAATTAATTCATGAAAACTTGGCTTATTAGGCAAATCGGGCCTTGCATAGTAGGCTGAGAAGTGCGTTCTGGCTACAAGGTACGACATATATATATATATATATATATATATATATATATATATATATATATATATATATATATATATATATATATATATATATATATATATATATATATTAGTATATTTTGGTAGCAGTCTTTCTTGTAAACATATGTTGTTAAATATGACCGAAAAAGTAAGATAAATAATTCTAATACGAATTTTCTCAATATTTCTTATGTTTCTTTTTACTGTCGATGGTAATTGAAAAATCAATTCTCCAAAATTAATTTTTATTTCTAGTCCGACGCGACGCTTGAACGCGTTTCGTAATAACTTATTACATTTTCAAAGACTTTAGTTTACACACACACAACTGTAACCTGAAAACACTAAACAGAGTTTTACTTATGCTAACACTAAACAGCTTGTCTTATATACTCGCATTTGGGTGAGGTGATATGTTGCAACAGTTTTGGATGAGATGAACAAACTTTTGACCAACACAAACACAGAACAATGTGTTGCAGAACACAGAACAATGGGTATTAATTGGATAAATGAAAGACAATTATGGAAGTAATTGCAAAGGACCTATTGGCCCAAACTTCCTCTTGATGCTTCTATATTGGTACGGACTCTTGAAGTGGGTAGAATATAGTTGTGCATTAATTGGCTGTTGATTACCAGCACCAGTAATCAATATATATATATATATATATATATATATATATATATATATATATATATATATATATATATATATATATATATATATATATATATATATATATATTTATATATATAAAAGGGGTACCTTTTATATATATATATATATATATATATATATATATATATATATATATATATATATATATATATATATATATATATATATATATATATATATATATATATATAAATATCGAAGTATCACCTCTGGCTGGAAGAAGGGGGACCCTTAGCCTCGGAGGAACCCGCCGAAATAAATAAATATATATATATATATATATATATATATATATATATATATATATATATATATATATATAAAATTTATCTATATATGTTATAATTATTAATTTATTATGACATTTTTGTATGCTGATCTAGATAGGAAAGTATGATGAGAGTAAAAATTATATACCAGTGAGCTGCTATCTTACATGTCCTGTATATTTATACAGTATACAGTATATGTACTGTATCTATCTTATATGTACTCTATATTTACCCTAACTGAAAAATGTTTAGATGAGGAGTTAGGAACATATTGTACTCTACATATCTTAAGATTTCAGCATGCTGGCTGCCTAAACTCCATGGTCATCGGAGAATATAGCATCCTGGCTGAAAGGACTGCCATGTAACCATATAGTTATGAAAAAGACGTTCTAATTAAATCTATGCTTTGATCTCAACACCTGTGCTCTTTCACAAAAAAATCTACGTGCTAGTTGTTAACAGCATAATGTATTTATTTTTATTTGTGTTTTCTATGCTAACTATGTACTTAACATTTAGTGTAATAGGCAATGTTTAGGCTATTTACAGTATTTATTATTTTATGTCTACTGAATGCTTTCGTGCTTTTCAAGATTCTTGCATTTCTTAATTGTAAGAGTTGGTGCAATTATATATGTAATACATTTATTGAAAATTGATCAGTGCATATATCTTTTCAAGTGCAGGGATTGATCCTGATACAAATACTGTAATAACAATTGCTGTGATGACTTCAATATTTTGCTAATAGTACAAATAACAAAATTTTTCCCTAAAGATTTTCACTGTGAACTAACAATTTAATGACACATTTGTCATTTTGAATCATATGATGTTTACTGTTTTTATTATTGGTTACTACTGTACTGCATATGAGAAAACAAACACAAAACAAATTGTACTGGTAAACTACAACAAAGCTAATGCCTGATCATGATTTACTTTAGTATGACTGAATGAACTTCGCTGATTGGTGGAACTAAAGCATGGGAGGAATTAATTGTTTCTAATATGAATCCTTTGAACATATAGTACCTTCCTTCATTGCCTTAGCAACACTGTACATCCAGTAATATTTGTATGTTGGGAAAAATATTTACTAACAATATTTTGGATGTGGGTGTAATACTTTGTTGTTTTGTATGGCAATGTGGTGAAGGGGGGGGATAAACAAGGCTGTCCCTATTGATAAAGAGAAAAGAATTGCTCCTCATAAACTTACCACTGTTTGTGGCTAAAATTCTCAAAACTAACCTGCTAATTCATTTTATCCTTTGAGCTTTATACTCCTTTTAAAGCAAACATTAAATGAGGGGTCTCTCTCTTTCTTCTGATAAATTCATAATGTCTATGAGCTTCTAAGCTTTATTACTAACTGCTGAAAGATATGTCAAATGTTTTGTAAGCTTATTGACTTGATACCCAATATGTAAATCCCTTGTTCCAGATACTGGCGGTCGCTCTCCAACCTGGTTGCTTCCCTCCTCAACTCCATCCAGTCGATCGCCTCTTTGCTGCTCCTGCTCTTCCTCTTTATCATTATCTTTGCTCTTCTGGGCATGCAAGTCTTCGGTGGCCGCTTTAATTTTAATCCAACTGAAGATAAACCACGGCATAACTTTGACAACTTCGTTCAGGCCATGTTGACAGTGTTCCAGGTACACTCCAAGCTGTAGCGCTGCCATGATTCCAGTCCAGATGTGCTTTTTCTGTTACTAAATTTTGTTTTAACAAGGTTATTGTTTTTGTTATCTTGATTTGTGTGTTTTCTATTCTTGCATGTTTTATAATTTATCCAGAGCTGTTGCATTAATTGAATTTTGCATTTTATTTACAGTATTTGAATTTGTTATCTTTTGAAGTATTCATTAGATGAATAAATTTTCTGTGATTGCTAAAGATTTAGGTAATATTTTCTTAACAAGGGTTGATGGTTGTGCTTATTTGCCATAAATTATAGTACAGTAGTTTATTTAGGTGGCTATACAGCAACCCTTGTTATTCATGGGGATACATTCAGGATAAACCCACAAATAGGTTTGCTAATGCACAGTAATAACTGTACTGTATTTTGAAAATAATTGATGATGTAAAAAGATAAAAGTGATGAATAAATGTGGAAATATTGTGAATATATGTGTGGGTGTGTGCATGTATGGTTATATGAACACAAAAGAACACACAGAACACAAAAGAACACTTCTTCAACACTCCAATGCTAAGAACACAAAAATTCTTTCTAATGAGTCATAGAGATGTTAGAAAGAATTTTTTCAGTGTCAGAGCAGTAGACAAATGGAATGCAATGGGAAGTGATGTGGTGAAGGCTGACTCCATACACAGTTTCAAGTGTAGATATGATAGAGCCAAATAGGCTCTGGAATTTGTACATTAGTTGATGGATGGTTGAAAGGCGGGACCAAAGAGCCAGAGCTCAACCCTCCACAAGTACATCTAGATAAGTACAACTAGGTAAGTACAGACGATTCAACCAGTGATGTCCTTCCAACATATCATATGTGAAGGAGGTAATAAGCCACCAGCAATATGTTGCAGTGCATACCTGTTGGTTTTGTCAACAAGATGTTGCATGAATGGTTCATCAAAATAAGTCATAAAATATTCACTCATATCTTCACCTGTATACAGGAAAGTGAGTGCAACACCAACATCACAATCATCAAATTGTGGTTTGTGTGGTACAAAATTATCTAATTCATCCCACACAAATTCACCTGTGCTGCTTGTACTGGCACCACCATTTAGGCTTCTTTTTCTTAAACTAAATCTTTTTTGGCTTTCACTCATATTTGACTTGACCAGGATTCAAACCCATGACATCCAGGATCACCCCTAAATGCACACAGTACCGTGACCATCACACCATTCAGATCAATGATGTGGTGATCACGGTACTGTTTATGAATAGGGGTGATCCTATACGTCATGGGGGTCAAATATGAGTTCTTAGTGATATATATATATATATATATATATATATATATATATATATATATATATATATATATATATATATATATATATATATATATATATATTAGTATATTTGGTAGCAGTTTTTCCTGTAGACATATATTATTAAATATGACCGAAAAAGTAAGATTAATAATTCTAACACGAATTTTCTCGATCTTTCTTACGTTTCTTTTCACTGTTGATGGTAATTAAAAAATCAATTCTCCAAAATTCATTTTTATTTCTAGTCTGACGCGACACTTGAGCACGTTTCGTAAAACTTATTACATTTTCAAAGACTTTAGTTTACACACACACACACACAACTTTAACTGAATAGAGCTTAAACATCTTCGAGTTTTTATACCTACATTTGGGTGAGGTGACATGTTACAACAGTTTTGGATGAGGTGAAAATAAACTTTTAACACAAGACAGGACACGAAACAATGGGTATTAAAGGTAGGTAACTGCAGAAGGCCTATTTTTATTGGCCCATATTTCTTGATGCTTCTATATTGGAGCGGAGTCTTGAAGTGGGTAGAATATAGTTGTGCATTAATTGGCTGTTGATTGCTGGTGTTGAAATCTTGATGTGTAGTGCCTCGCAGATGTCAAGCCGCCTGCTATTGCTGTATCTATCGATGATTTCTGTGTTGTTTGCTAAGATTTCTCTGGTGATGGTTTGGTTGTGGGAAGAGACTATATGTTCCTTAATGGAGCCCTGTTGCTTATGCATCGTTAAACGCCTGGAAAGAGATGTTGTTGTTTTGCATATATACTGAGTTTTTTGAGGCTTACAGTCCCCAAGAGGGCATTTGAAGGCATAGACGACGTTGGTCTCTTTTAAAGCGTTCTGCTTTGTGTCTGGAGAGTTTCTCATGAGTAGGCTGGCCGTTTTTTTGGTTTTATAGTAAATTGTCAGTTGTATCTTCTGATTTTTGTCTGTAGGGATAACGTTTCTACTAACAATATCTTTCAGGACGCTTTCCTCCGTTTTATGGGCTGTGGAAAAGAAGTTCCTGTAAAATAGTCTAATAGGGGGTATAGGTGTTGTGTTAGTTGTCTCTTCAGAGGTATTAATGCGTCCTGTACATACCAGTTGCGTTGCTCCTGGCAGTATGGGTTCGAGTCACTTCTGGGGTGAGAGTTTTCAGTTGCATATAGTCCTGGGGACCATTCAGGCTTGTTCGCATATATATATATATATATATATATATATATATATATATATATATATATATATATATATATATATATATATATATATATATATATATATATATACAGTGGTACCTCGCATAACGAATTTAATCCGTTCCATGTTCGTCATGTGAGATGGACGTCATACAAAACGAGTGTCCCCCATGTAACCAGTGTGATGCACTGTGTTTATTGTGAAATTCCCCCAGTGTGCATGACATCAAATGTTCCCAAAAATATCATTTTTCTTTGCAAAATGATAAATTACCATCCCTGAACATGTCTATGTATTGATAATTACCAAATTCCACTTACTTTGGCTGTGAGGGTGTGGACAAGGTGCACTGTGACGTCATCAGGGCCTGGTCGCCCGTGTGTGAAGCACCCAGTAACGGTCGCGCTGACCATTCAAGCACCGCGTGTTGCCACAAATATATTTTCAAATATTTTTTCTATGCATTTCCAATGCGGTTTTATTTGTTTCTTTTATCGTATATGATGCATATTTGTGACCTTTACAATATGTATACAGTAGAATGTTCATAATTTTTCATGGAACTGTGATACATGTGTCAGTAATGTGTCCACAATAAATGTTTATTGTCACAATATTACGTGGTAAAAATTCACTAAAATTACAATATGTACAGTTTCACATACTATTTACACAGTAACACACTGTATTACACACTCAGTACTTTGGAGGTGCGTAATAGTCAACGAAGTAGTCCATGGTACACAGCGCGACTTTGCTCTCCTTGCACCAGCTACAGATAGATTTTCGTTTCCTGTTTCATCGTTCTGTGTGCTAGCAAATAACGCACTCGCGTGCACCCTTGGCTTTAGTACTTGTAGGTGGTATGTAGCCAAGCTTGTAAAGCATAAGGTAGTATTGAAACGATTATAGGAAAAGCCCATTTTTTAAGGTAGTCTTGAAAAGATTGCTTTGTAAGGTCCCACACAGGAAGAGATTCAGCTAGCCTCAAAGAGTGTCCATCAGTCAGGAAGAGATTCAGGTATTCTTGAAAATATCAATGAACAACACCACCATGAAAGCTGCTAACACTGTTCATCTATGCTACTTGTATCAGATGCATCATCACTGAGCGCAGAAAATGATTCATCTATGTATCATCTATATAAATTCGAGATGGCTCAAAGCTACAACTGGATACGCTCGCTGTATCATCCTCATAGGTGCTGTATCACTGGCATCCGACCGTTGTGTTAAGACCTTATTGCGCCTAGCTTCACCAATGTTATGACCCTTATGTTCTTCAAACAATAGGGTCTGAATTGCACCGACTGAGCGCAGTCTTTCAACACCGTGTGGGACAGGTGTTTGAGAGCCATAGGCGCGTGTGCCACAAATGGTTGCTCACGCAGTACTAACCCAGCCAGCAGCCCTTGTCTTTCATATTCGTTATAGCAAAAGGTTCGTTCAGTGTTTGTTGGGTAGGCTGCTCCATTATGACAATCTTTCTTTGTTTCAAATGTGCTCCATTTGTTTTGTATTTGTCACTTACGTCTCAATTTTGGAGCAGCCTACCCGACAAACACTGAACGAACCTTTATGGCATTTGTCCATTTTTCAAATTGTTTCAACGGTTCTTTTATTTTTCGTTTTTTTTTTATTTAAGAAACATGGAGCCGCCTACCTGTAGACCACCGAACGAACCTTTTTGACATTTGTACTGGTTTTCAAAATTCTTCATTTTTTTTATTATTTACGTTTTTTGTATGTAAGAAACATGGAGCAGCCTACCTGCCGACTACAGAACGAACCTTTTGCTATTAGACAAATGAAAAATAAATATTGAACACATTTGAAGAAAGGAAAATGTCATAATGGTTTATTCAGTGTATGTAAGGAAGGCTGCTCCATTATTGAAACGTAAATGACAAATACAAAACAAATGGAACACATTTGAAACAAAGAAAGATTGTTATAATGGAGCAGCTTACCTGCCGAACACTGAACGAACCTTTTTGACATTTGTTGTATATGAGACATTTCATTTCTTTTTTCCTACAAAAACGTCAATGCTTTGCAACATCTCAGTAGTCACCCTTTTATATCCCAGCATCATTAGCATCTTTAAACAAGAACAACATAATTTATGTGCATCGTCGGAGGCGTCTAAGAATGTGCAAGAAGCAGCGTGACCCCACCATGTGATGTTGACGTTACTCAAACCAGCGTTCGTCATACGGGACGATTTGACGTCGATCGGGCCGTTCGTTACCTAAAATGTTCGTCTTTTGGGGCGATCGTTATGCGAGGTACCACTGTATATATATATATATATATATATATATATATATATATTATATATATATATATATATATATATATATATATATATATATATATAATATGTATGTCTCATTGAATATGACCGCATATTCTGTATTTACTATCATCTGATTTAGGCTTCTATCCCTCTAACTATCTTTCTAGCATCAGGGCTTAGCTGAA